CAGTTGCCTGTTAAAAACATGCACTTAGTGTTAACGTGTCTGTTTTGTGTCTCCGGCAGCTGCTCGCCAGTGACTTCCGACAATGTATTCGGAACTTGTTTACTCGTAAAAGGTGGAGAAGTGTGTAAGCACCTCAGCGTATTTGTCCTCCTGGTTGACCGGGAGGGTTAAATTTCGGGTAGCCTAGCCGTGGGTGCGAAATCTGAAATTATTACCCTTACATGCTCCACAGTAACTATAGAGTAAGACTCGCATTTTAAATATAACGAAACTCTAGGTCTAAACAATACATCGTGCGAAGGAAGGATATAGATCTAATGGTGTGAGCTAACTCGGAACCGGCAAAACAAAGTAAATCTCTGAGCTGACTTGATAAACGGAAAAGTATCTTCATAAGGTCCGATAAGCATTTCACCCGCATAAATGAAACCATATAACGACCTAATGAGCACGACCAGCTGGTGTTGTAAATCCTCTTTGATTTATAACCTGCTTCTAGGTGTCACAGAACGGTGTGCGACCTAGAAGCACTCACTAACCTGCATACACTCAACAATTGTTGAAAAAAGTCATCGCCGGCACATAATTGCTTTTTACAACTTACTCGGTCACGAAGGATTTCATCGAGGCGTCATAAATGACATTAAACAAGTATACAATAAAGTAAATTCACGTCGTTCCAGTGTCAAGGCACATGAAAAGTAACACTAGCTAAGGCGTTTCTGCTAAATTTAAGCGAAAACCTACGTGGAAAATGCTATAAATGTCTAATTCAGATTTCTTGATAAGAGTTTTGTGGACATCCTCCAACCCTACAACTGAGATACAAAAATGGGCAAGCATAGCCTGGTGTACAAAAATTTGAAGAAGGCCACACGAAGGCAAAGACTCACATGGCATAAGTCAACACAGAGTATAGGGCTGGGATCCCAGGAGAAACGCTGAAAATGTAGTTTGTGCGTCTCAATCAGAGTCAGCGAGCCGTCCTCGCTGCCAGAGACCACAAAGAAAACGGAGTTGGGTGCGTGTGAGAGGTAGTGTTGGTCAAAGTCATTGTTTAGGGATTCTGTACTGGCTGCTGAGGAGACACGTAAGAGGGGTTGGCTGGCGATCTGGGAGACAGCTCGAGTGT